GAGGCGAGCCGAGCCGGATCTGCCGGTTCTGCGGCGGGGAGGGGCCGGCCCGAAGCCCCTCGGCAGCTTCCGGTGCCCTCTCGGGACGGACCCGAGCGTGCGCGAGCCGCGGAGGGCCGCCTCCGGGTGTGCGGGAGCGCTGCGGCGGCGGGAGGGGCCGGCCCGCGTCTGAACCCCTTTCGCCGCTTTTAATGTTTCTGGCTGTCATCCCGACACTCTGAACACTTGCTGCGCCTCTTAATGGCTTGCCGGTGAGGGCAGGCCGGGACCGAACTGAGAAGCAGGTGATAGAGACCGGACAGACCGCCCGGGGTCTCTTAGGGCCCTGCGTGCTGACTGCAGGGAGCTGCCGCTGGAGGAGCGCCGAGCTGTGTATCTCCTAACACGCCGTATCTGGAGGAGCCTAGTAAAATGTTCGCCCCATACGTCTAAGAAATGTGTGAAAATGCTTTTATGGGGCCCAAAAGCTAGTAATTCATCAGCATCAATCAGATACTTCCTTAAGGTCCTACCCAGCAGTTATTCTTTTAAGTACCACACTGTGGCAACATAAATTTTAGCTGTGTATAAGTTAATTTTATTAATGCAAAACTAGAATACATACAGTGACTATTACATGGCTATAATATAGTTTCTTTAACTATTGAGGGGCATATTTGTTATTTCCAGTATTTTTTTAAAGTGTTATTTCCAGTTGTTACAAGACATGAAGAAACCAGGGTTGATGGAGCATCCCTGTAATCCCAACCTTACGAGGCTGAGGCTACACGTTACATAGTGAGACCACCTCAAAAAAATAAGAAAATTCGATTTAAAAAATGACAAAAAGCAAATCACAGCACAGCTAAACATTCTGTATTGTATTAAAAGCTCCAATTACTTATTCAGTATCAAATATACATTATACTTCTAATGTACAGTGTCTCTTAGACATGGATAAAACAGTGGTGAGAAGCCAGCGCACCCAAACACCACGAAAACAGCCTGTGGACAAACCAGGACTAGAGTTTTTCCTCTGTACAAGGAGAGGTCACTTCCTTAATAGAAACTTGCTGCCATTTCCAAGAGGGAGGGCAAAATTTTTTATACATAAAATTCAAAATACAGTATTAGCTGCGTGTGGTAGTGCGTGCCTATGAGTAATCTCAGCACGTGGGATGCTGAGGTAGAATGATCTTTGCGAGTTCAAGACCAGCTAAGCTACAAAATGAACTCAAGGCCAGCCTGAACTCAAAGACAAACAGAAAAAATCAAATACAGTATTGAATAAAGTTTGCAATTCAGGGCTACTAATGAGAATTTTACAGTGTAGCAAGTTACATTTCATTGAATTATGATCCAAGGACTTTTCCATCTTCGGAAGCTTTTTTTTCAGTTGGGTTTTTTTGTTTGTTTTTATTTTTTTGAGACAGTATTGCTACATAGTTCAGGCTGCATCTGAACTAACTATATAGCCCAGGTTGGCCTTGAAAATGCGACAATCCTGCCTCAGCCTCCCATGCTGGGATCACAGATGTGCACCACCATGCCCAGCAAATTTTAAGTAGTCTGTTAACACTGATCTATAATGAGATTTTTTTTTTTTTTTTTTTTTTTTTTTTTTTGAGACTGGATCTCTGTGTCGATCACACTAGCTGTGAACTCACTGTATAGCCCACACTGGCCTTAGACTCATGACCATTCTGCCTCAGCCTTCTGAGTGGTGGGATTACAGGCATGCACTACCATGCCTGGCTATATTTTTTTTAAAGAAATGTTCATTTTATTTACATTTTTATTATTTTCTTTTTAATTTATGTATTTGGTACAAGGTCTCACTATGCAGCTCGGACTCATAGTGATCCTCCTGTTTTCAGCCTCCCCAGCGGTGGGATTATAGGCATGGTCTGCTGACTCAGTATGGGGGGGTCAGGATGTGGGACCAGGGTCCCTGTGCTTGCCAAAGCAGGCGCTTACTCGCCAGCCCGCTATATTTCCCCCTTTTTTTTTCCTTTAATGTGTTTGGTACAGGGTCTACAAAGTGTCCAGGGTCTCACTGTATAGATTGGACTCATAGTGATCCTCCTGGGATCCTCCCTCCATGCGCTGGGATTACAGGCATGCACCCCCAGAGCAGGCTGAGCCAGTCACACACACACACACACACACACACACACACACACACACAAATCCTATTAGAATCTTCTCTTGATGTATGCTTTTGAGCATAACAAAAAATATGAATATTAATGATTTTGTTATCATTCATTGATGCATTCAATAATTACCCACTGAGTCCCTATTAAATACAAAGCAATATTCTAAGCCTATGCTTTAGGGGCCTTAGTGAACAAAATTAGGTTCATCAGTAGGGAACAAAATGGGGTTTTCAAAGGGGCCGGGGAGATAGCTCAGTAGAATAAACGCTTCCCTGGCAAGCGCAAGGGCCTGAGTTCAATCCTCAGTTTTGAAAAAAAAAAGAAATGGGGCTTTCATTGAAGAGAAGATGCACACACACACTTTCATAATAAACTGTCACATATAAATGGATGAAGAAATCAAAGCAAAGCAAGGGTTAATTTAGACAACATGGCCAAGAAAAGCCTCTCAGATACATTTTGAGTAGAAATATGAATACATCTTTTAATAAATACTGACTTCAACAGAGGTGAGCATTAGTTTTTTACTTAAAATTTAAGTTTAAATAATCATTATCTCTCACAGTTTCTGTGGGTCACGAATTCGGGGGGCCTTGGTAGGCAGTTCTGGGTTGGGGGTGTCTTAAAAAGGTTTAGTGAGGCCTGCCATGGTAGTGTATGCCTATCATCCTAGCACTCTGGAGGCTGAGGCAGGAGGATCTTTCTGAGGTGGAGGGCAGCCTAGGCTACAAAGTGTATTGAAGGCCAGCCTGAACACATAGTGAAACTTTGTCTCAAAACAAGCAAAAAACATCCACAAAAATGTTGTAGATACTAGAAAGCCTCCGCACCCTGGAAGCAGGAAAACTGCTTGGCTCAGGCCTGGGTGTTTCCAGAGAGAAGGCAGAGGCTCTGTGCCTATTATGACATCACACGCTGTCACTCATATTCCATTCCATTCATTGGTCAGAGGATTGCATGTGGGCGGGATTACCACAGGGCCTGTTAGAAGGGGAAGTGCAGGTCATTGATGACCATCTTTGAGGCTGGTTATCTAGACTACGATTCCCATATGTACTTGTGATGATTTTAAGCAATTTCCAGGAAAAAAAAAAAAAAAAAAAAAAACACGAACACTGAAGTGTAATTTTATATTGGTTCAACTGTATTTCCTTATACATAGTATAGTACCTACTTTTTGAAGCTCTGTTAATGTATAAATTTAAATATTTAACTATTAAAACTACAAAAACAGGCAGGGGAGATGGCTCAGTAGAATAAGCACTTCCCTGGCAAGTGCAAGGGCCTGAGTTCAATCCCCGGTTCTGAAAAAAAAAAAAAAAAACAACTACAAAAACAGCCAGACATGGTGGCATATGCCTAGTCTCAGCACTGAAAAAGCTGAGGCAGGAGGATTGCTGAGTTTGAGAGCAGCCTGGGTTACATAGAGAAACCCTGTCTCAAAAAACAAATTAATTTTTTAAAATGGAGAGCCCTCGGTGTGAAACTGTTAAACTACAAATTCAGTTTATTTTTAAAATTTTGTCTTTAAAATGATTTCTAGGGGCCGAGGAGATGGCTTAGTAGAATAAGCGCCTTGCCTGGCAAGCACAAGGGTCTGAGTTCAATTCCCAGTTCTGCCAAAAAAATAAATGAATAAATAAAATAAAATGATTTTTATTGCTATGTGTTTGCAGTATGTAATGACTGCATTCCCCATGGGAGTTGGTATGAGCACAGAACTCATCTTAATGTATTTTACATCCCTTTCCTTCCCTCCTCTCCAGTCTCTTTAATATGGGGCTATTTCATCATCTTCACTCATCATCACTTTATTCAGCAAGCCTTAGTAAATTGTCTTTCAAAAAATTGGTCCAAAAAAAATTGTCCATTTATGGAATTAAATGCATAAGGTCATCCATACTATTATTCCTTTGTGTTTGTTTAATGCTTGTGCAATCTATAGTGATGTGGTTGCTCTCGGAGTTCCTGATAGTGATCATTTGTAGCCTCTTTTTCACCCTGGGCAGTCTAACTAGAGGTTTTCTTGGGTTGTTTTTTTTTTTTTTAATTTTATTTATTTATGTGTGTGTGTGTGTGTGTGTGTGTGTGTGTGTGTCCAGCTCAGCCCACCAGGGGGCGGAGCTGGCTGGCAAGTGGTGCTGGGGATTGAACCACAGTCTGTGCTTTGCTTAGCTTGTTCTAGGTAGATGCTTTAGACCACTGAGCCATCTCACCAGCCCTTTCTTGTTGTTTTTTGTTTTTTGGGGTTTTTTGTTGTTGTTGTTGTTATTTTGTACTGAGATAGTCTCCAATCCTTTTTTGTTTCCTTTTGAGAAACAATCTCACTAAATTACTAAATTGCCAGGCTGGAGTAGAATTTGCAGTCTTCCTGCTCAGCCTCCCAGAGAGCTGAGATTACAGATGTGTACCACTATTCCTGCCAAATTTTATGTGCGTTTTTTTTTCTTTTCTTTTCTTTTTGGTTACTGTATTTTTGCTTGGGGGAAATTTTTTGATGCAGCATCTCACCATGT